GCCGCTGCGGGGGGGGACGCTGCGAACAGGCGCCGGCGGCCTGTGGCGGGAGGGCGTGTCCTGGTGAAACGCGCAGGTGCCGCCCGGCCTCACACTTCCTTGAAGGACCCTGGGGAAGGTGCGTTTGCGCCGCCCTGCTAGGAGCCCGCGTGACGGGCCTGGCGCCCTTGAGCATCAGAGGCTTTCGGCTGGAAATCTTAACTTCCTTAAAACACCTTTACCTCTAGTCAGAAAATCAACATCCCTACGGACAAATATTCATTCAAAATAAGAGCTGGAGAAAGGTGCCCGCCAAGTGTACTGAGAAATTACCAGACAAAAAACACCAACAAAACGAACAAGGCAGAATCAGAGCAACTACATTAATTTAGTATTTAGTCCCCCTAGAACTTTCCCCCAAATTCCCAGGGTCTTAATGGGCCAGTACCAGCATTCCGAAAGGTGATTGCCCGAAATTAGCACCTACAGAAGAGGGCTGATTTTCAGGTATTGAGCTCCTGCTATTTCTGCTGAAGTTAGTGAATTGTGGAGGTTCCGCATCTCTACAAATCAAGTATTTATGTGGGTGCCCAGATATGGTACATAAGTGCCTAACTTTTGACGCTCAACTTTGTCTTTCGTGTATTGGGGAGATCTCACAAGTGTCAGGTATTGGCAACTGCCAGAGCAGGCAGATGAAGAATCCAATCGAGGAAAGTAGAAGGTTAGAAAGGATCTGCTAATGTCCTGGTCTATTACAGTGACTTATAAAGTTCACAAAGAACACAGGCTTGATGCTGCAGGCAACTGACCTTTGTGTCCAAAACTAGATTTCAGAGTGAATTTAAAGTGCTAGGCAACACACAAGAGCTTCATAGCATTGTCCAAAAGCTAACTAGTCTCAGAGGAGTAGCCATGTTAGTCTGTAAAACCATAAGTAATCCTGTGGCACGTTAGAGACTAACAAAAATACATATAGTATCATGAGTTTTCGTGGGCAAAACCCACTTCATCAGATAAGCGGGAGTGTTAGTTTACAAGGTGCCACAGAACTACTTGTTTTTCAAGAGCTAAATGAATTTAGCAAGTGAATCTAGGACATTAATATATTCATTTTTACTTTTAAAGATACAATTTAAAATGTTATTTTCCCCTTTGTATGAAAAAGCTTTATTTCCTTACTCCCCCAAACTGCTCCATTCTTGCTTTTCTTGTAGATGGCCAAATCTGAACCTCAGGAAAGAAACTATGACAACATGGTAAAAATGCTGGAGGACCTGAACAGGGACTTAGAAAAACTGCTAGAAGAAATGGAAAAACTATCAGGTGTGGGTTAGATTTTTTGTTTATTTGTTTGTTTGTTTGTTTTTTTTGAAGGATAGATTTTGCATTTGCTGCTAGAGCATGCAGGTATAACCTATGCATCTATTGGGTGAGGTTCATTGCCCCATGCAGGGGCAGATGAGGATTTTGCGGGGCCCATGGCAGCACAATTTCGCGGGGCCCCCCCTTTGACACGGCACATGCGTGGGGCGTCTTGAAGGGCAGGGCCTGGGGGGGCCACCCCGCTCGCCCTGCCCTATATCTGCCACTGATCTCATGTAGTAACATGTACACCACTTGCAGAGAGAAAGAATGAGTTTCCTCTACTGCTTTAGATGAGAGCCAGCTGGCTTTATAATTCAAGATATAGAGAGGTTCCATTCCGTTCCGTTACACGAGCATTATAGCAGTGCATAGAAATAATAGCGGTAAACATGTAAGGGTAAAGGAGAGTGGACTTCAAACTTCTCTGTATAGCAGAAACATATAAGAGGAGAAAGAGATCTGTACCAAAATCTATTAATGAGATTGAGATCTAAGAATGCCCACAGTGTATTAAATTGAAGAATACATCTTGTAGAGCACATCTGACAGACTGTGACAACAAATGTTAACATAAAAAGTTAACTGGAAGGTGTTTATAGCTCAGGTCATAAATGAAATTCAGATTATAGTGGGAGAAGTTGGTAATGAGAACAAAAAAAATACAAAAGGAATTTACAGAGCTTTAAAACATAATTAGAACATAAACACAATGAGATTCAGTTTGCAAAAACCATGGAAGAACTGGTACCTCCAAAATCAGAGAATGACAAGCATTAACGACCAAGATATGAGAATAGTGTCATGTCAGGGAGCTGGGACGTGCATTGTTACAGAGGGTCCATTGTTAACATTAGACATAGCACTGTTCATATACCTTGCACTGCCTGACTGTCCCAGAGTGAGCATACATAAAATACAGGAACCCCACAATGGTGAATTCACCACCAGGGTAGGTAAAACGTTTGGTGCAGCTGGGCAGGGGAAACCTTTGCTGCAGTGGCAGAGGGAAATCCCTTCGTGCAGCTGGGTAGGGATTTTTATTCATGCCGGAAAGCACAAGTTTTCATTTGCGCATGGCTGTACTGTACTTTGGCCAGAGCACTTGGAGAGGGGGAGGGACTGAAAGTTACTAATGGACACTCATTTCATCATTACTAATGGACACACAGAGTATTCATCCTGGAAGATATTTCACTGCTTATGGTGAGAAGGAAGCAAAGGAGTGTCTTTTACTCAACTGCAAGTTCCGTCCTGGATTGTATGCGGCTTGTCTTTGTGCAGTGATGGTCCCCCGTCCCCTCCGTGCTGATGGCACATTGGCAAGGGAACATTGGCCTTCAGGGGTCAAAGACCATGTTTGCTTTGCCAGCTAATTTGCGGAGACAGGTGGCACAGCAGCTGCATGGCATTTTCTGAGATCTGTGTGGCAGATTACTATTATATAAGTGATTGCATCAATGGTCTGTTCACCATCTGACCAATCCTGTGCTGGTGGCAACATCACACAGAACCACAAAGCCTCCTTTATGTAACACTCCTGCTCCCGACAAGTCACTTGAGTGCTTCTTGAGACCCAATCCACTTACCATGTGCATCATCCGCAGCCTCCAAGACCTGCGAGTGGCTTACCTTATGAGGAGTACAAAACAGCTCCTGACTGCAAGCCTTTGTGGATGCTAATTCCTCCTCTGCCTCTGGTTCCCATTTCTTCTCAGCACACTTGAACACAACTTCCTCCTCCTGTCTTGGCCCACTCTGGGGAAGTATTCCTGGGAGCTGTGTCTAGATTGGCAAGTTTTTCCGCAAAAGCAGCTGCTTTTGCGCAAAAACTTGCCAAC